TGCGCCCTTTAAATGGTTTATTCTCCCTGCAGTGTTTTATTGTACGATAACCAACTACCCACTCGTCGTTTATTTCTCAGATAGACAGTCAAACATGTATGGTGTAGTGAACTGAGCCACAAGTTCCAAATTGGACACATAAATTATCATGCACCTTCATCCAAGCGTATCATGCCTAAAACGGTTCAGTGTCTCATACGGTGTTACTATTATGGGTAGTTGTGCAGAGTTGCGTCCCTTGGTTATGCCTGAACCTCTTATCGAGGTTTCCCGATTCACCGAGGTCTTTGCACCACTTGATATGACTCGGCACCACTTGATATGACTCGGTACTTGCGACCATCTGTCGAAACATACATTTTCCTTACGGCTGGTATCGGCCGTGTCCTAGACATTTATCAAAACGAGATCAATGTCACATGTTGATATTTCCAAAAGATGGAGTGAGTGAATATGGTTTTAGCAATATTCCAGCAATATCACGACGGGGAACACCAGAAATGGGCTTCACACATTGTACCCATGTGGGGAATCAAACCCGGGCTTTCGGTGTGACGAGCGAACACTTTAACCACTAGCCTACCCACCGCCCGATACATGGAAGTTCGGGGTATATATGAAACTATAGAAGGGTGATGCTTATATGTTTCCGGGCATATATCAACTGAGGATCAAAAGTAACTACACCTCACAGTGGATTATATAATATCTTAAGTTAACGATATTATATAGGCCCAATGGACTGTACTTACACTGAATCAGCACTCAAAGAATACTTCTACATGGATTCATTGGTTTTAATTTAATTTGATTTAAAACTTTTTAAAATAGAAAGAATTGCTAAATACGCAACTTGTGTAGGTATCTTAGACAGCTTCTCTTTTAAAATGAACATATTTACTGTTTTCGGCACAAATTTACATTTCAAACATGGTATGTGTCGTGTGGTTGCAAATTCATTTCTTTCCTATATTGCTGAGTGCGGCGTAAAACAACAAACCAACCAACCAACAAACTTTCCCCAGTCTTCATTGGACCAATTTGTTTTTACATAAAATACTTTGCCACAGATTATTTTTTACAAACTGTTGAAGGTTGGGCGTGGTTAAATAGACATGATAAAAAAATATCAACAGTTTATTCAATTTTGAATTACATAAAAAAACACTCTTTTTTTTGCCCCTCAGTTTATGCCGGATATCTGACCCGAGATCCCTCAAGGCCTGTTGGTGTAAACGTATTCTCATCACTTGACATTCATCGGTCTGGTATAACCCTGCAAAACATATTTTTTACATGTATTTGAAAAATAAATAATTTATTATCCAATTGTTGTCTGGACTATGTTCCTTTGTGGACCAATAAATCACTCGGTCTTGCCTGTTATAAATCTTCCTTCATATGTCATATTAGACATATTTCCCCAACTGGGACTGCTAGGGACTGGTTGGGACTGGTTGGGACTATTAATATGTTGTTTAGGGGACCTTGTAGAAATACATTGTGGTGAAATAAACTCTGATGCAAATTGTTCCAAGTCAACCCTTATTTTGCCTGGACTATTTGCCAAAGTTTGTTTGTTTGTTTGTTGTTTAATGCCGCATTCAGCAAAATAACTGCTATATGACGGCGGTCTGTAAATAATTGAGACTGGACAAAAAAATCCAGTGATTGACCTCATGAGCATGGATCCACGCAATTGGGATCGATGACATGCATCAACCAAGTCAGCGGGCCTGACAACCCGATCCCATTAGTCGTCACTTACGACAAGCATAGTCGTCTTTTACGGCAAGCATGGGTTGCTGAAGACCTATTCTACCCCGGATCTTCACAGGGGGACAAGCATGGGTTGCTGAAGACCTATTCTACCCCGGATCTTCACGGGTCTATCAGCCAAAGCGAAGAAACAGGAACAGATTGATCCTTTCAATGCAGAGGTATGCATAAAGATAGCGCAGCATATATATAGAACTCTGGGGACCAATTCTAATCCGGAATATCCACTCTCAGCGGAATCAGGGGTGTACGGATATAATAAAATATATAACAAAAGTATTCATTCATATGTGTGTGAGTGAGTGAGGGAGCATTGTTTTACGCCGCGTTTAGCAATATACCAGCAATATCACGGCGGGGGACACGTGAAATGGGCTTCACACATTGATACGGGTCTACGGCGTGAGGAGCGAACACTTTAACCACCGCACCGCAGTACATTCATTTGTAGATGTGTACGTACAATAACGGACCCATAGGCACCGGTGGTTTCCGGGAGGATGCGAATGTAACTTAGTCTATACAGAAGAATGTATTGGATATCAATGGTTTGGGTGGGAGTAACTTACTCAATATTCGTGCGTATTCTTAAGATTCAGATTTTATTTATGCTGAAAAGTTACAAATTTACTCATTTTAATCGTACTTGAATTTTAGTAATAGGGTGAGCGGTCACTGCGTCTATTTTTTCAAGTACAGTACAGTACGGTTATAACGAACTCAAAGGGACTACTAATTTTAGTTCGTTATAACCGTAGTTCGTTATAAGCACATATACAGCATAACTACAGCAAATAGTCGGGACCAAAAAAGTAAGTTCGTTATATCCGTAAGTTCGTTATAAGCGTGTTCGTTATAACCGTATTTTACTGTACACGACTTCCTCTACTGTGTCGGGTTTATTAAACAAAGATAACGATGTGAAATATTTCTCAATCTTATCGATAATTTCCATAGGAAGATAATGGTGGCAACATCCAAATATTAATAAAGTATACGTCATTGACCGCATTTAAGATATAAATATATGTTTCTGGAGATATATTGTCTGTAATATATTTATGTGTGGTCCATTTAGATTTCTTCTGTTGTAACATTACAAGTATAATTTGTTGATTTATTCTATCAGTGTTGACTGAACAAGCGCCGTCAGTGGATATGTTTATCATGTTTATACATATGTTTTCCCGGATGGAACTGAGACCCGTTTCACTGAAAATAACAAATTAGATCGAATTTTGATTAAAATGTACCCGGCAGTGGTCATTGTAAGGTAATGAGTAAACAGTCAAGGACAGTTTTGGACCTTTGCCAGTTAGAAGCTATTTACAGAAACATATATAGTTTTGTTTTGGGGGGATATATACTGACATACAATGAAAACGCATAATCATGTTTTCAAGCATCAGACATGGTGTGTTTTTGGTGCTCAAGTCCACCTGGTAACACATGGAATGAGAATCGAACCCGAACGACAACAGTTTTGCTTTTGATTACATCATGCTTGAACACACAGAACAACTTTATTTGATTTCAGTGGCTTTTTTGCCAAATATTACAAAAAATGAATATACGTTTACAAAGTGTTTCAGTATACTACGGAATTGCCTTCCAAATTCTCAATAAATCATATAATTTAGCGTACTTTTTCGGAGTGAAGCTAACTATTTCAGAAGTTTCCGGACTCCGGTGTCTTTCCCTTCGTGTGGAAAGACCCATGGGAAACAGTGCGAGGTCTGTACATGGAACCATGGTGTATTATCATACATGTATCTGAGGGCCGACATCTACCCTTACAAAACGTGAAATATATATTCCAAGAGAAACAGAGAAGTTAAATCAAAAGAGTAGCATTACTAAATGGAAGTCAGAATGTTAAGTTATATATTCATCAAGTCATGTTTAAGAATTATTTTTTAGAGTATATATCAAAAATTAAAACGAACTGGAAAAGAACATTAAGTTTAGTATTTTAATCACTGCTAGTTCATCAGTTGATAGCTTTAAAAATACTCAAAAAACATCTTTCGGTATTGGAAAACAATTATGTTATCATCTAAAAATCATAGTAAAAGTAATCATAAGAATATCCTAAATAAGGAATCAATTTGACAAATGGTTTGGTGTTTTCTTATAATGTGGTTAAAGTTATGTAATTCATAACCACCTTATATGAAATTAATTCCTGCAACAAAATTAATGTTAAAAAGAACTATGTTATAATGCAAAATAATGTTTTCAGTTTGTGACTTTTGTACACTCTTTCATTTGTTTAAGTACCACAATCCGTTACAATATAGGACAATGATGCTTGTTAAAGTATGAATAACTCGAAATTATTACTATCACACTTATTAACAATATTTAAAAGAAACATAAATACTTTGCAAATTGTCAAAACATTAGAGATTTTACCTTTAAATGTTCATTGTTTTCAAAAAACAAGATTTGAATAGGACGCCGGGCGACAGAGCTAAGTCATTCACACGAGGAGCAGCGGTAGACATTACATGACGTGTGGCCTTGATAGCCGACAACTGGGCTCGTGGAACCGAATCGGTTGCTAGCTCCGTCTATGAAATATACTACTTTCTTTTATACGTGTTATCCTTTTACACAAAGTGTGTCGGTCTATCAACAGAAATTACTATGAAAATCAGTGTGTTTTAATTAGAACATAAATTGTTAATTTTCTTATTTCCGTAATCTGCAAGGTGTTGAAATATATCTTAAGTGCTGCTTGCAACCAATGGCAGTAATCATATGCAGGTGCGTGCGACTCGTGTTATGGACAGCAGGTGCCCGCTTAATTTCGTCACATAAAAGAACTGGTCGATATTCTGAAAGTAACGAAACTGTGATATACTTGAACGTAACCCGATTTTGCTACAATGTTAACAATGACTTTTCCTCTCCAGTAAACGTTGTTAATAAACCCGTTATCCAAAACAAAGTTTTTAACAATATCTGTGTTTTCTCGACAATGTTTTGCTCTTATACAATGAAAACTCTTTGTACACAAATTGTATGTATTGTTTTAGTTGTATTCACATAATACACACTGAGGATTACAGGCTGTTATTAACGGGTTGACGATGTGACTTAATGCATTCCTTTTAGCATAGCCAGGGAACGTCAATCGAGAAACAAGTTGGAAGAAAAGCCGAGGTCTATAGTATGGTGTTAGGGAAATAGTATTGAATACCAGCCAATCAGCGCGAGAGGTTGTTTACGTCTGTTTTTCCGCTGCACTGAGTCCATCTTTACGAGTGTGACCTTTTTAGAGAATCTGTTTCCTGATCCTCATCTTTAAGTGGCATCTACACTTACCAGAAGATTGTTTAAAGTGTATATTTTCTAATCAGGAAGTAATTGGACCCGTACGTGTGTTACTCCCAACATACTGGCTAACATTTTGGAGCCTGTCGTGTTCACTTCATAACAGAAGTTCAAGGCTGTGTGATTATTTTTGTTCCCTCAGTGTGTTGTTGACACTACAATTTGCAAGCAGTTTGGATTTTTGATCGTCGACTAGAGGGTTATTACGTGGACAAGATACAGTAATGAACATCGGAGATTCTACTGGCTGGTCAAGTTGACGTGTGAAAAATGCACTGGGAATGGTTTCTGCATGTATGCCGAACAACGCATTTGGCCATTCATTGATAAACCCCGCCATGGCGAAGTAAATTCCTCCAACGCTTGGCTTTGCTCTGTCTTCATATTATTGTTTTGACGAATAACTGATCGACTCGGTATGACCTTCCAAAAGAAAAACGTCTTTTGTCTTTGCACACTGAACATTTGTTTGATTCTGTTCATAGTGTCTGAAGTCGTAGGGAGTAAAACCCAATCGACAAACTCACTCACTAAAGGCGTGGGGGAGACAGCGGAGAAGGACGGAGGTAAGTGTTCTTGTCAGGTCACGGTGACCCAAAGATGATATTTACCTATTAGGAAAAGGCCTAAATATTTGTTCTGAACTAAGTTCAGATTGTATTTTATTTTACAATAATACTGATGTATAATAGACTAATGTAAGCACTTAAACAGCAAATAAATTATTATTATTATTTTTTTCATGTTTGCTATTGCTAGTAATATAAGTCATTGTCAACATAGACCTAGATATTAAATGTATGCATGCATGTAAGTTGCAACTATTTTGGTACCTAAGTGCAATAACATGTTACCAGTAACTGTCTTTGCTGGTACGAAAAAAGGGTTTTAAAATCTTGAAACATATTCATAATGTTTTTATTATGCATTTCTAAGCATTTTCCTCAAAATCAGAGGAAAAGTAATCATGTTCTGAAAAAGAAGCATTTCTCTAAACAAATCCAGAACAATTATTATTTGTCTTTCTTGACTGACATTACTTATGTCAAGTGGGATTATGGTCAGGGCCATTTGTCAATAACAATTTGATATGATAATCAGAAGTCATTGAGATACCACTTCATTATATCAGTTACAAATTACCCACATTACGATGATGTTGCAGCTTCACACATTATGCACACAAATGCCAATGTTTGGGCATGGACTGAAAATGTGCACTAGACAATGTGGTATAATCTCCCTTTAAAAATGTATTGAATAACAAATGTCTTTACACTTTATTTGTTAATACTGTGAAGATCATTTACCTGTTCTCTCAACATACCAATCACAACTAGAATATAACTGATAATAGGGTTTCAGAAAGTTTCTTTTTCTTCAACATTGACTGGTTAGTATCAAAATGCCCTGAAGATATTTTTCAATTTTGGTGATGGTACAGATGAAATGTCCTATCCAAATTTGCTAAAATCATGGAAATGTCCTTGTGACGTTTGTCTGTAGCAAAATCTCTGTTCAGATACTGCATCATGCATTGACTGACAGTAATGTTTTTGTGACAACCTAAAACTCATGAACATGATCAAGTCCATTACATTTGTGTACCTGAAATGAACACTGACCTTTGGGAGGTAAAATGTTAAATGGACCAGAGGCAGTTGAGGTCATAGCCCTTCTAATAGCTGAGTTTTACAGAAAGCACAACTTTTGTTCTGTCCATACCTGTTCAAGGGTATATCAAGATAGCTCAGAGGCTGATATTCGTCCCAAAGGCTGCAGAAAGTATATGGCTTTGTAGATGTGACTTGTCGTTCTCCGATAACAGGCTTATATTGTTAGTATTACATACATTAAATTGAATACAATGGGTTTTTTTAAATACTGTATAAAAATACCTTTAAAATCAAGAAAATAATAACTTAAAAATCTGTACAAACAAGGAATCTAGGGTAAAAGTATGAAATTAAAAAAAAAGTAAATAATTTCTGAACAACACAAACATAGTTAAATACGATGTGTTAACTTAATTGCATATTTCTTCTCTTCCATGAACAGTTTAAAGTTCAATTATTTTCATATGTTGCTGCACCCCATAATATTCCAACATGTTTGAAGTTGTAATTAATTTTATTCTTCTGTTTTCAGTGTGTGCCTCAATCGATGTTCGGAACAAAGTGAAAAATTTAGAATTACTGGAAAACTGCACAGTAATTGAAGGCCAGTTGCACATTCTTCTGATTGACCAAGCCACCCACCTAGATTATGAAAAATACAGCTTCCCAAAACTTGTGGAAATTACGGATCATTTATTGTTGTATAGAGTTTATGGATTGCGTACCTTGCGGACTCTTTTTCCCAACCTGGCTGTGATTAGGGGACAGAATCTCTTCAACAATTATGCTTTGATTGCTTATGAAATGCAAGATTTAGAAACTCTAGGTTTGATTGGCTTGACAACCATCATGCGTGGAGCAGTGCGATTGCAAAAAAATACAAAATTGTGTTATATCGATACAATTGATTGGTCAAGAATTGCCACCTCAGTGGATGTACAATATCACTACTTTGAGGAGAACAAAGATGAACAGGAGTGTGTTAATGTGTGTCCTGAAGGGTGCCATGAAAACAGGTGCTGGACATCAGAATTTTGTCAGAAAAATCTAAGTAAGTGTTTTTCTTTAATCTTGTTATTGTATTATTTATGAAGATATATTATTTCCATTTGCCAATCTCATTATAATCGGACACAATACCTATCTGCATCTGATGATAAGCACTGCCTCCATTATGGGTAAAGGTAGTTCGGCTTGTTTTTTAAGATGCAGAATTCAGATGTGCAGGGTTGAATTCTTCGCTCACTTGTACTGATGATTTAGAACCTTTCAAGCTGGTTCAGTGGTTGGCTGATCAGGAAGTTCACCTAGCATGACCTCTTCTTGGGGTGCAGGGGCGGTCCGGTAGCCTAGTGGTTAAAACGTTCGCTCGTCACGCCATAGACCCGGGTTCGATTCCCGACATGGGTACAATGTGTGAAACCCATTTCTAGTTGTCCCCCATCGTGATATTGCTGGAATATTGCTAAAAGCGGCGTAAAACCATACTCACTCATTCTTCTTGGGGTGCCCTCAGATGTTCACGCATTGGAGTAAAAGATCTGATTTTAATGAGATTGTTCATTTGCCGAGGAAACAGGAATTGTTGGACCAGGTTCACTTTTCAACCAGCACCAGAGCAAGGCCAGTGTTCTTAGATACCTGCTTGAACTAATCTTATAAGTGTACCTAGGCTGCAGAAACAAGGAGAGCTGGTGTTTTCTTGCATTGTCCAATGTCTGTCGCGAGTCCACAGGACTGTCTTGGTTTGTGACGTGCCCAAAAATCAATTATATTCTCCAGCCCAAACAAAGTTTTGCAGGGAATATACAAACAGGCGACATCCATTTTCTCTGTGCATCACTTTTCGTTAATATTTCTTTGTGAAACTTTATTATTATATACACGTCAGGCATGCTCTAAATAGGTGCATTGTGCAATTAAGAAATGTGTTTTGTTTTTATTTTCTGCGTTGTCCAGACAAGTGGGACTTCAGTTGAAATGAAGGCAGGTTAGTTTCAGTAGCGTTATCAGGGTCCATCGGTCAACATTACTGTCGTTACTAAACATATTAAACATGTTTAAAGTCAGTGTAGTGTTGGGCCATTCAATATTCAAACAAGCTGTAAATGTTGTAAGTATTAGTTTGTTGATATGCTCATAAATATTCATTGCTGTTAGCATGACTTTGGTTAGTCCATAACTAAACAAGCATTGGCAAAAATATTTGTTAAAAACTTTATTCATTTGTCATTGTTCAACATTTCTAATTGTATACTTCATGGAGAAAGAAGCTGTACTACAATTTAGCGATCAGTAGGTATAAAGAACTAAACTAGACCTCTGTTCGTGTGTTGATAATCTAAAGCCACAACAAGTGCAATGGTAAAGCATAAAAATCAGGAACTATGTCATTTTATGTTACTTGTTGTGCCATATTTGTGGCATTGAAAGATCTGCAGCTTTATTGGAGGTATTGCACAGCATGTCCAAAACTTTGTGAGCCATATTTGCATACATTTGACACATGGCTTGTCAGTTTGATGTAGTCAAAATCTGTTGGTTATGAACTTTTTTGGTATGCATGGTTTTAGTTGTGATAAGAGCCAGGGTTCGAGTGAGGGCAAGACACAGCAACTTGCATTACTCATTCCCCCGTCAAGTTTATTCAAGTGATGAGGCAGCATGCCTGTGTTACAGGTATTATGCATCTGATATGTGTAACTGACAATACTGTTCTGGAGCACCTAAAGTACTGATCAAGCTATTATAACTATAAGTACTTAAGTAATACACAAAAATATGGAATATGCTTGTAAAATGTGCATTCTTAGGTCAGAATAAATTCTACCATGACATTGATAAATGCTTCATTCTGATTAGTTAAGAAGAGGTTTTCTTTTTGCTACAGAAACAGGGTTAGAAACTGGCACTAGTCCTATAGTCCTTGCCAAACTGCCCAATGGTAAACAGTCGCAGACGTAACGTGTACACGCGAGACGGGTGCAGTCAGCAGTACTCAGTGAAGCGCTTGATACTAATTAATTCAATCACCGTGGCTGTGCTGTCACCCGCGACCTCCGCGAAAGTAATTAAAGCACTATGTAAAATCCACTGCCGAGAGGGACCACAATCCACCCAAGGTCGTGATTTCGAACAGTTAAAACATGTCAACATGTTATTCTGGACTGGATACACTTGAAAGTCTACACGTCGAAGCTAGCTACCAGTTATCGCCATTTTTTTCATGTTATTTCTGACATATTCCATGTATACACAGACCTTGTGATACCGCGGCATTCATCGTATCGCGGCATTTGTGATTTCCGGTCGCTCACGCAGGACACACCTTTTAGCGGGTGTCTGTTAATGAAAATCAGTAACCAAAGGTATCATAAGGACTAGTAGAAAATTGCCATTTTTAAGGGTTTTGCTCTATGTTATCATTATAAGGACTAGTGGACGAAAACTGTTAGTTTCTAACCCTGCAGAAACCTCTTTTTAAGTTATTAAGCCTTTTCACACAAAAAAATGTGTGTATGAATGCATCAATAGCCTAAAAAGATAGCTGCTGATCACCAAAATGAACTGTATACTGTATTGATATTTCCTGTATTAGAAGCTGGGTCTATAATACAAGCCAGTCTCTAATACACACCAGCTCTCTTGCAAAATGAATAGACAGCAGAGTGCCTAAGAGAGGAAATATGGTACGCTTGATAGCAGATATTTTTTTGCAATGATATGCCATTCTAGGCCGTAACCGTGACTGCTTTTATGATGAGATTACAAAACTTGACGAAGGCATATCTTTTGAATGCAAATGATAGCGTTTTTGAAACTGTTGGGGACATGTTTGGTGGCGAATAGGTAATTTCCTCATTCAACAAAATGATAATGAAATTAAAATATTACATTATGAATATTTAGAGGTTGGGGGGTATCTGTGTGTGGATTTTGAAAGTCCATCAGCAGGGATTTATCCTGAAATTTTTTACTTATTAGAGAAAATCTCCCCTGGTCCAAAAGCAATGGGATTTTTGGCGTGTGATTATGCTAATTTTCAGAGATATTTTGTTTTCACAAATTGGAAACTGTGACTCGAATAATGTTGCAATTAATGTTACAAGATTCTATGGACATATCCTTTGATATCCCATTTTCGAACATTAATTATTCCACTGCGCAGATTTAGAAACATTAGTAGTATTAACAAAACATTACATTAGTACTTATATTTCTGTTGATTGTCTACTTTAGGAGGAATTACACTAATATTTATGTATTTGTACTCATTGTCGACTTTACGGGGAATTATTTGTGACAACAGTTATAGATCGTAAAGGAGGCATGTTTACAACCATCAGCTGTTCATTTCGTTGGCATGCAGGAGACAACAATCAGCAGTTATCAAATTTCGACAATGTTTGTTTAGATCGTAACTTATATATTCAAAATGATGAAATAAAATAGCGACAGTTACATTACTTACATTCCAGTGCTTTCATCATGTCTTTTTCGCTGTCTTATTTCCGTCTGTGGTGTGTACCGTATCAGAGACCGGGTCGCTGACTGTATCTAATTAAATCTTATCAATATGGACTTTTCATTCAATTAATTAGAAGTGACAGTTCAGTATATGACAACTATTGCTCCATGTTCAGCCTTTTGTTTAATTAGCAACAATTAAGTCATTTATTTCACGCAGAAGGCAGCGTGTTGGCCATGTGCAGCAGCCAGAAATGTCACCAGAAGTTGAAAACACTGTTGACATTCATGATGTTTATGAATTACATTTGAATTATTAAGTCACAGTTTTCAAGTTAAATGGACAACTCTGGAAGCAAACGAATCGTAGTATATTCTAAAAAATCTAAATCCAACTTGCTGTTTGCCCACCAGAAATAGTTCAAAATTCGTAATTCACGCTCGGTGACAGTTGTTGCACAGGGGTATGTTCATGAAACTCATCGGAATAGGAATATTGATATAGGAATCGGTTCTGCACAGTTATTACCGTGTAAGTTTTTTATTGACAGGTACAGTAGATAATTTTGTTCCAGCAATACAACATTTTCGAGTTTTGTAGGTGAAAATGGGAGTGTCAATGGAGATAAAACTATTGAAAAATGTACACGATTTTGAATCGTGCTGATTGAATGTTGATGCGACATCTACGACAACTATGCGAGAATATCGCGGAATCACGGCCTAAGTCAACCCCTGCATCAGTAAACACAAAAACTCACAAACAAATGTCCTGACATCACAACAGCTTATCAAATTGGATGAAATTCATTTCAGAACATGCACAATTAAGCAAAACATACACAAGCCACTGTGTCGGGGCCACAACTGTCAAATTTCTTTCACATGCTGGCGTCGAATGCAGTGAAATCTTGACACTGACAGGTCAAAAAATTTATCCAAATCTGCGTGTCACAAAAATGCTGGCTTGTCTGCAATTTGCAAATGGCTGTTCAGTCATACTCCCATTCCATTGGCAATCATGTTCCAGCAGGTTCATTCCCATTAAATCTACAGGTTAATGTTGAACTACATCTTACTCTTAGATCGGGGTTTTCATCTTGCTTCGTGTAACTTGTCAGAGACGAGAGACTGACAACAAAAAGATTGGCAGCCACTAACAGTAGAGATGAATAATCACGATGTAGGTCAAATTCTGCCACATCCCTTTTTGGGGTTGAGAGGCATTTCTTTAGATATTTTATTATTTATTAGCTGTAATTGCAAACTAACTAATAAGGCTTACACATGTAAAATAATAGTAGAATGTTAATTAATAAAGTTTGTTAGAGAAATAGATTTTTTAACTTATCCTGCATTACTCTTTTATGCATCCACTGCTTGTTCTTGACAGAAAGAAGAGCTGTGTGAGGCCTTGGTGAAGAAGAAGTTGTTCCAACTAGTTGTATGGCTAATCCTATCAGACAGCTCCCACGTGACGACAGAAGTGATGACGTCACATATCACCACATTACTTCTATTAATCAGAGAAAACAGACACCTGTTTTGAGATCTCAACTTTTCTGTGAAAGTTCCCGCCAATTC